GGGGGGAATAAGGGTGAACGGTATGTTAACGACTGTACAAAGACATCATAAAATTAGCCTCACTAATTATCACGAATGGGCTGAAGAAGATATCGAGCATTATGCAGAAGAGCATTGGCTTCCTCATTTGAAGCATCCAGTGCACGCAGTTCTCTGATTTCTTCCTGCCATTTTTCGACTTGATGCTTGTGTATCCTACATAACGTGAAGTTAAAAGGATCAAATCATAGAAAGCCAACAACATTAAAAAAGTAAAAGAGTTTTCATCTCTGAATGTTTAGTGACAACTTCAGAGCTCACATAACAACTTTCTCTTCAAATTCATCGCTTAGCGCCCTTATCATTGTCTTCCCTGATTCTAGGAGCTCAGATACCTACATGCAATTCATTCAGCATGTGAAAGAATTAGATGACTTAATTATACACTACGATTCCAAGCTTCACACGGTGTATAACTTACATAGCTACCTTTGAGGATAATTCTCAATCTTCTCAAGAATAAGAGAAATACTGAGTTCCATTTCTTCGGACCCAGCAATGTTCGCCTCAAATTCTTCTTCTTCTTCTGCAGTCTTTGATTCCGCTTCATCTCCCACCTTTTCCTCCACCTATTTATTATGAAATAAAAACCGAAATACTAAATGATCCCGAATAGAACGGAAGGTAAATTCAAGACAAAAAGATTGAAAAGCAGAAAAAAAAAATTGCCTCCTGTTTCATTCGTTTCCTCGATCCTCCGCTCTCCGTGCTTAGAGTTGACATTGACGTCTAAAGGTACAAATTAAACCATATATGACGTTAATATCCGCAACCTAAAAGCAATTTTACGAGTATAACCGAAACATTCACAAAAATAATCTAAGAATTAAAAATAAATAAGCATATATTAGACTAAATTGCAATTAACTAGACAAAAACCCTAGCACAGTGAGTGAATTTGAACATTCCAAATTATAAAGGCAAGGTAAAAGTGTATTCAGTATAGAGTCACTGCAAATAACACAATAACGTTAGCTGAACGACAACGCAAACCCGATGCGAAAGCACGATCGAAGACATTAAAAATTAGAAACGAAAGAAACAGCGTACTGATACAGATGATTGATAGAGTAACAAGCATCGATTACTCACCAAGAACTCACAAACAAGAAACAAAGAAGATCGATGAATTAGTTTTTTCGTTTGAATTGCTCTTTGCTTGAAAGAGCAAAGAATTTGATAGGTGCAGAAATTGAAATGCGCGCGTTTTCTCTTATAAGACTGCAGATTGCAACGTGGAAAGCAAAGCCCAAATATTGGGCCTTCTACAGTTAAGCCCAAAAACAACAGGGCATTTCTTCCTGCACCTCCAACCATTATTTCCTGCACTTCAATTTTTCTTTTAAATCTCAAATTTATCTTTTGTAAAAGTAAATTAAGTTAAAGTAACTTTTTTCTTGTTTTTCTCTCTGGAATTCAAAAAATTCAACACCCTATCTTTTGTACTTTTATGAACTTTAAAATTCATTGAAAGATTTTTTTTAAGACTTTATCAAATTTCAAAAATTTATTAAAAGATTTTTCTAAGACGCATTTCGAAATCATTGCATTGAAGAATTTTTTAAAATTTTTAATAAATTTTAAAATTTGTTAAAGGCATGAATGAATTTTCAAATCCATTAAATTTTTTTAAAAGATTTTAACGAATTTCAAAATTCATTAAAGACCTAAACAAATTTCAAAATTTATTCAAAATTTGAATGAATTCAAAATATGTAAAAGTCTTCAATAAATTTTAAAATATGTCAAGATCTTCAATCAATTTTGAAATTTATTGGAGTATTTAATTGAAATATAAGTTTCACGGAAATATAATCTCATTTATTTAGGATTAGTTTTGGAAATTGAATGTGCAAGAAGAAACATTTGAAGATGTAGGATAAATGCCCATGACACTGAATCAAATAGCTTATAATCTCTTCTAAATTTTGCTTAGCATTTTTAATTACTTTGACTAAAAAAAAAAGTCTAGCCAAGTAAGTTCACAAGGAAAGACTAGTTAATTTGATTTAAATTAGTAATATATGTGTCGGTGTAGTATAAAATATGTAAGTGAGAATGTGAACATGTTTGGAGGAAGCATCTTTGTAGAAGAAAGAATAAAAGTTAAAATTAATTTCTCCGTACATGAAACATTAAATTTTGAAGAAATTAACAGAAAATAATTTCTACATACGGTAAGATAATATTAATTGTGAAGAAAATTGGTTTTATTTTTTTTTCTCTTAAAATGGTTACTGAGAAGATAAGTTTCTTTACACATGCCTTAAATTTTGGTAATTTGTCATAATTGAAGATTAAATTATTTTCTTTTGGTTTAATATATTTAAAAACAAGTTTCTTAAAATAATAATAAGTTAAATTCAAAAATAAATGAGAGAGAGTAGGGCTCATGTAATACATCATCAAGTTTAAAATGGCAAAACCAAGCTTTTGGATAAAAGATGAATAGGTTTTTGTTCTTGATGTGTAAATCCAAATAATATATCTTGGATTCACATAGCATTTCCTCCATTTCTTCTCAATATAAAACGCCATACATTCATTGGATTAAGGTTAGTTTAGTGAAAATATATATAAAAAATGTTATTCTTAACTAACCATTATGTTAATAAATTATTAATGTTCAAATAAGTATTTCATATTGGTGTAAAGATGAAATAAGTAATAATCTGCAGTTCATTTGTTGGCCACATGACATAATATAAGATAGAACATTGGTGTAAAGATAAAATATGCTTTTATTTTGCTATTAATAATCTTATTCTATCAATTTATTGTAATTTTTATTATAAAGAAAAAAAGAGTTAGAATAATCAAAATATGATAATCTATCTCACTGATATTATCTTATATTTGTTGTAATTACTATCACCATCTATTTTTTTTATTATATTATTCTTTTTATTGTTATTATTATTATTATTATAAAAACACATATGACAGTATATTAAACATTATCATTATTCTTATAACTAAAAAATATGCAATTATCTTTACGTCATATATGGTACAGACAAAATAAAATTTGAACAATGAAAATATATACTTCAATTATTGGAAAAATATAATATCAATTGTTTTTTTTTTAAAATTTAAAGTTCTGTTAATTATTTGGGATAAGATACCATGGGTAATGGTGTGATCACTTGTTTACATGTTTCTTTACATTTGAGCATTTTTAATAATATATTTTCTGTTCTAATTTTTCACTTTATTTTTATTTTTATTTTAGAATAAATATGATTTTTCTATTTCTAAGTTATATTAATTTTTGCTTTTAGTTTCTATTTTTGTTTTTCTTTATAACTTTTGTAAAAAAAAATAATTACAAAAAATTTGAAAAACAACATTTTCTTTTGTTTTAATTTAATTTATTATTATAGTTGTTTTAAGATTTTTTTCTCTAAAATTGTAAAAATGTTAGTGAAATGGTATAAATTTTGAATATTAGTAAATAACAGGAACCACAATCACTGTTTTGGCTCTGTAAATAATATATAAATATTAAAAAATAGTTATTATTTTAGTTTACGTGAAACTTTGAACATACTATCATAATTATTGTTTCTATTATCGTCTTGTTACTCTTTTTATTAAAACTACCACTTCCATACACTTAACTATTTGAAGTTTCTTGACAAAAAGTTTTCATCCATTAATATATTTATATACAATGAATTATTTTTAATTAATGTAAGACTTCTAATTATGAAAAATAAATTCTTATAATTAAAGAGTTATATACTTAGTTAACATAATCTAAAGTTTCTAACAAAGAGGATAGTTTCCACCATTAGCTATGTGTTGTTCACACTCTGCAATGACCAAAGGAGTCTCATACGTGAAGCAGTCGTTTGGTGAACATGGCAATGGCAAAGAATGCATCAGCCATGTGCCATATGGGTGTAGTTCCACCAGATAAGGCACGTCATATGCCATATATTCATGAGCATTTTCATATCTGACTTATCATTGTCAAAATTTCTTTAGCAGTTGCAATATAAAATGTTTCCATTCTTCATAAGCAAGATAATAGGCCACTGCATGTTACTACTACCATTAATGCGTGTTTTCTTCCATCCTCTTGCGTAGAAGAATTGACTTTGTATCATACAAGAAATAGCAATGCGTTTTCAATATATCTTTCCTATTATTAAATAAGGAAGGTGACTAACAAGTGAAATTTATCTTTTTTAATAATATGAATGTATAAATTCTAATTCAATTCCACGAAACTAATTTATAAGATGAAATTTATTTTTATTTATATATTATAAATTAATATTATTTATAGTCGGTGTACAATTTCCAATCTTCTTGGTTGAATTGATTCAAGTGATTGAATCTGTAGTTAAATCATTATTGATCTGCACAGTATTGAGGTTTAGAACATAACCTAGCTAATTAGTTTAATCGCAACCGTTTCAGTTAATTTTTTTAACAAAATGATATAAAATAGTTGGTCTTTGACAATGTGGTAGGAGAAGAGTCTTATCTGCTATCTGTTTGTTAGTTAGTTTGCCTTTAAAATAGTGTAACATTCTGACAATACTCAAAAATAATTTATACAACTTATCACTCGCTAAATTATGCATGATTTACTTTGAAGCAAGCTGAGCTGCAAATTGTGTTTGACTGTACCACTTACGTACCACGGATCCTATGACCAACAATGCATGTTCACGTTCTTTCACTGCTCATTGAGACTAAACAATCATAAAGAGAAAATATAAGATGAATATTAATATTAAAGCAAATAGCATTATATGGTTGCTTTGGGTACAATTATGATGGGTTGAGTCTTCTTCCCACCTACCTAACTGCCTTCTATTTTTTATCATATTAAGGGAACTAGTTTTTGGGTCAACGCCACTTTTTTTTTTTTCGATAATACGAATTTGAGTTTGGGTCAATTTTTTTTTTATGGGCAAAAACGTCTCAACCAGCAATTATAAATACATCATAAGAGTTTGTCACGTTAAGCAGCAAATTAAGAAAATCCTAGTTCAGAATCATACTCAGATAGAGAAGATGGAAAAATTAGTTTTCAGTGGTCTAATACTACTTGTGGTGTTGTTCACCATAGAACTTAGAGTAGCATCCGCAGGTTGGTTGAAAGCTCATGCAACTTTCTATGGTGGAAGTGATGCCTCAGGAACAATGGGTAAAAGATGTTCTACATTTTTACTAATGTTTTATTTTTCTGAATTACATTATTACAGTGCTCTTCTTCAATTCAAAAATTTAAGTGCAAAATAAGAGGAATAAGTTCCACATGATATTAAAGAGTAGCTTGTTTGTACTTGTACAGGTGGTGCATGTGGCTATGGAAATCTCAACACAGATGGTTATGGAATAAAAACTGCTGCTTTGAGTACTGCTTTGTTTAATGATGGCAAATCATGTGGTGGTTGCTATCAGATAGTTTGTGACGCAAGCCAAGTGCCCCAATGGTGCCTAAGTGGCACTTCCATTACGATCACTGCTACAAATTTCTGCCCTCCAAACTTTGCACTACCTAGTGACAATGGGGGTTGGTGTAATCCTCCAAGACCACACTTTGACATGTCTCAACCTGCCTTTGAGATGATCGCCAAATACAAGGCTGGAATTGTCCCAATTTTATACAGAAAGTATGTTATATTGCGTTATGCATATTCTAACTATGAAGTGAAAATTGTTTCAACTTACACTTATTGAAATTTGATGCAGAGTTGGGTGCAAAAGAAGTGGAGGCATCAGATTTACCATCAATGGGAAGGACTTTTTCGAACTGGTGCTTATAAGCAACGTAGGAGGAGCAGGGGATATTTCTCTAGTTTGGATCAAAGGGTCAAAAATGAGTAACTGGGAATCTATGTCAAGGAATTGGGGTGCTAACTGGCAAAGCTTAAGCTACCTCAACGGCCAGAGCTTGTCCTTCAGAATCCAACTCAGCAATGGAAAGACTCTCACAGCTTTTGATGTGGCACCGTCCAATTGGAGATTTGGCCAGTCTTTCATCAGCAAGGCTCAGTCATGAATGGAAGAATACATACAAATTTTACGAACCATTCTTCCACTTCGTCTATTTTATAATTATATCTTGTTTCTGATTTGTTTAAGGAATGTATGTTAAACTTGTATGCTTTCCAAGGGACTGTGGCTCCAAAATTTTAGCATTTGGCGATGAAGCCCACCAAATATGTAAGTTCGAACAAGTGGATCTAGTTACGCACTTATTTCCAGTGTTTGGACAAAGGAAAAAAGCAGCTTTTGTAATTCTAAGATATCTCTAAAACTATCATTCCTCTAAAGGCTCGTAGTTCAAATACACTGGTCAAAATATCCCCACGAAGCAGAACATCATTCTATGCTGTTTTTCTTTTGCAGCAAAAAAAAGTAACTTCTTTCTTATCCGCTTACATACCTACTTACAGCGTTAGCATTAAGGAGGCTTTCGATAAACTGTTTTAGTTTTTGTTAGCATAAACAATTATAGTTTAAATATCAAACTTAAATTTTTTACACAAGGTATAATCACTTACTATTAATTCTGCTGGTCTTTAAAGCTAAAAGAATCACGTAATCGCAATCAATTTTAATTTTTATTAAATTTTCATGGAGTCTAACTCAATTGAACAAGATGTATAAATTGTTGATTTTTATCACATTGTCAAGGGTCTAACTCAACTCAATTGAACAAATATTTATTGTAAATTTTAATCAAATTATGAGAATCTAAAATCGTAACACATTATTTGACACAAGGCGGTTAGCACCGATTCCAACAAGCACTTATCATTACGAACCTAGGAGGAAAGTTTTCAATGGATAGATTAAATATTTTGAAAGTCAATATTATACATCCAAATCGGCTTACAAGCAGGTAGGTGGCCCCATCACCATTCTAGCCTTCGCTAGGATTGTTCACACACACTTCTATTGCTACCTCTCAACATAAGCCACTGAATAGTCAGACAGGCGCCGGCCGTGACCAATATATATATTTTTTATCTAAAGAGAACCAACAAAAATTAATGATCAAGCAGCCCTATGATCTTTGGCAACAGTTTGAATTAAGGAACTGGTGCAAATCAATGGCATTGGCATCCCAATCAACAGAAGCTGGACCTCCACCAATCTTTGATGGACTTTTGCAAGGTATGCCACAAATATACATTCATGTCATCTTCGCATTACACGGTGGCGTTCTCTTTTCCTGAAGCGCTCTAACATGAATTCATCTGTTGCAGCCTGCCTCTGTACTGCTCCAGCGCCATCAGTGCTTAAATCATTTTGTTTGGATCCAGAACTATCATCCTGTGAACTTCTATCTTTGTACAGCTCTGGATGTTCTGCAAATTGGAGGCTCGCTAGTCAGTAATTAGGATACAGATTGCTTTAAAACAATCAACAAATGCCACAAGATGAATACATTGATAACTAAATCAAGACTGTAAACAAGCAAGTATTCTTATGTACTCTAAAATAACAGAACCAAGGAAATGAAACCTCTTCTAAGTTTTTCAGCATAATCCCTTCCACGCTGGAAATAATCAGCACTATAACTCGATGGTATGCTGAAATCTGATTTTGTCCGACCCATAAGTCTCTTTTCCTGTAGAAGCTTTTTGGCAGCCTCTGTTTCTTCAATATTTTTTAATTTAAATCTGAAAACATGAAATCAAACCGATTAAGACACATCACTTTTTTGTTCCACGTTGAATAGATTGATCACAATTACTTGCAACATATGAGAGAATCTATTACAGTTAAAAAGCAACGAACCATGGAAAAGATTAACATTGTAAATATTAATCATTGAACAAAAGCACTTCACCTGAAAACCAAAGTTCATAAAATTTGGTTCTTTGTTTCCAACCATGGGTACTAAAAATCACGTAGAGACAATACGTAGCCAACATACTGAACAGGAAAAAAAATATAAATGCAAAGTCAAATCCGATAAAAAAAATTATACCATTTTCCCCCTTGATGAAATAGATAAAAAAAGACACAATAAACAAGAATCATCAAGTACTCGCAACATATAAGAAAAGAAGATAAATTATTACCTTTAAAAAGCAATGAACCAAGGACGCAAGGACAAGAGGAGTAATATTGAGCATAAAAATTGAAAAAATAAGCTTCAGTATAAAAGCTAATGTCCTTAAAGTATGGTTGTTTGTTTCCATGTACGGGCACTAAGTTAGCATTTGTGTGCAGACAATAAAGAATATTATGTCCTCCTTGGTTCCACGGTTTCACTCTCTAACTCGTTTTATGTACTTCCACCCGTTTCAGCGGAATAAAACAAGTACCACTCTCTAACTCCATGTCCTATTATAATTTATTTTTAAGAGGCACCAAACATTGAATAGCGTGATCTGTTCTGTCTTGTTTTAACTCGTCAACAAAAGGAAGCCACTGTAATCAAACTGCAGATCAATTTATACCCTAGATGAATAACATAGAGCCTATGATTAACTTGAAAAAAGAAATATAAAAAGAACACAGTCAATTCTTAAATGCTTCTTCAATAAATAATGCAAACATCAAATACAGGCCATCACAAGTACGAGAAAGCATACTCGATTGGAAGCTGAACCTCAGCAATACCAGTAGTCCACTGAGTAGAGCTTTCTTCAGAATTTCGCCTTTTTACCTGACAGGGCACAACATTTTTAAAAGAATGATTCCAAGAAAAGGCAATACATACTGAAAGAGAAGGATGTATCAAACTGTAAGACAAATCATTTACATCCTTGATAATGTCACCAAGTGCTATAAACTATAGAGAAAAACAAAGAACAATAAATAGTGTAAATTGAAAAACAAAGAAGAGTCCCTCACTTTAAGATGCTCAGGGATCTTATAAAGTTCATCTTCAGCACGCTTCAGCTCATTCTCAACTTGATCAGCAGCATCCACTTTCCTTCCCCTCTTCTTCGCTAACTCGTGCTCTATGTATTTCACCCTGATCAACAAACAAGTTGAACCAACATCAACAACCAAATTGAAATTTAAAAGCCTCAGCACAAACACAACATAATATAANTCAGTCATGAATGGAAGAATACATACAAATTTTACGAACCATTCTTCCACTTCGTCTATTTTATAATTATATCTTGTTTCTGATTTGTTTAAGGAATGTATGTTAAACTTGTATGCTTTCCAAGGGACTGTGGCTCCAAAATTTTAGCATTTGGCGATGAAGCCCACCAAATATGTAAGTTCGAACAAGTGGATCTAGTTACGCACTTATTTCCAGTGTTTAGACAAAGGAAAAAAGCAGCTTTTGTAATTCTAAGATATCTCTAAAACTATCATTCCTCTAAAGGCTCGTAGTTCAAATACACTGGTCAAAATATCCCCACGAAGCAGAACATCATTCTATGCTGTTTTTCTTTTGCAGCAAAAAAAAGTAACTTCTTTCTTATCCGCTTACATACCTACTTACAGCGTTAGCATTAAGGAGGCTTTCGATAAACTGTTTTAGTTTTTGTTAGCATAAACAATTATAGTTTAAATATCAAACTTAAATTTTTTACACAAGGTATAATCACTTACTATTAATTCTACTGGTCTTTAAAGCTAAAAGAATCACGTAATCGCAATCAATTTTAATTTTTATTAAATTTTCATGGAGTCTAACTCAATTGAACAAGATGTATAAATTGTTGATTTTTATCACATTGTCAAGGGTCTAACTCAACTCAATTGAACAAATATTTATTGTAAATTTTAATCAAATTATGAGAATCTAAAATCGTAACACATTATTTGACACAAGGCGGTTAGCACCGATTCCAACAAGCACTTATCATTACGAACCTAGGAGGAAAGTTTTCAATGGATAGATTAAATATTTTGAAAGTCAATATTATACATCCAAATCGGCTTACAAGCAGGTAGGTGGCCCCATCACCATTCTAGCCTTCGCTAGGATTGTTCACACACACTTCTATTGCTACCTCTCAACATAAGCCACTGAATAGTCAGACAGGCGCCGGCCGTGACCAATATATATATTTTTTATCTAAAGAGAACCAACAAAAATTAATGATCAAGCAGCCCTATGATCTTTGGCAACAGTTTGAATTAAGGAACTGGTGCAAATCAATGGCATTGGCATCCCAATCAACAGAAGCTGGACCTCCACCAATCTTTGATGGACTTTTGCAAGGTATGCCACAAATATACATTCATGTCATCTTCGCATTACACGGTGGCGTTCTCTTTTCCTGAAGCGCTCTAACATGAATTCATCTGTTGCAGCCTGCCTCTGTACTGCTCCAGCGCCATCAGTGCTTAAATCATTTTGTTTGGATCCAGAACTATCATCCTGTGAACTTCTATCTTTGTACAGCTCTGGATGTTCTGCAAATTGGAGGCTCGCTAGTCAGTAATTAGGATACAGATTGCTTTAAAACAATCAACAAATGCCACAAGATGAATACATTGATAACTAAATCAAGACTGTAAACAAGCAAGTATTCTTATGTACTCTAAAATAACAGAACCAAGGAAATGAAACCTCTTCTAAGTTTTTCAGCATAATCCCTTCCACGCTGGAAATAATCAGCACTATAACTCGATGGTATGCTGAAATCTGATTTTGTCCGACCCATAAGTCTCTTTTCCTGTAGAAGCTTTTTGGCAGCCTCTGTTTCTTCAATATTTTTTAATTTAAATCTGAAAACATGAAATCAAACCGATTAAGACACATCACTTTTTTGTTCCACGTTGAATAGATTGATCACAATTACTTGCAACATATGAGAGAATCTATTACAGTTAAAAAGCAACGAACCATGGAAAAGATTAACATTGTAAATATTAATCATTGAACAAAAGCACTTCACCTGAAAACCAAAGTTCATAAAATTTGGTTCTTTGTTTCCAACCATGGGTACTAAAAATCACGTAGAGACAATACGTAGCCAACATACTGAACAGGAAAAAAAATATAAATGCAAAGTCAAATCCGATAAAAAAAATTATACCATTTTCCCCCTTGATGAAATAGATAAAAAAAGACACAATAAACAAGAATCATCAAGTACTCGCAACATATAAGAAAAGAAGATAAATTATTACCTTTAAAAAGCAATGAACCAAGGACGCAAGGACAAGAGGAGTAATATTGAGCATAAAAATTGAAAAAATAAGCTTCAGTATAAAAGCTAATGTCCTTAAAGTATGGTTGTTTGTTTCCATGTACGGGCACTAAGTTAGCATTTGTGTGCAGACAATAAAGAATATTATGTCCTCCTTGGTTCCACGGTTTCACTCTCTAACTCGTTTTATGTACTTCCACCCGTTTCAGCGGAATAAAACAAGTACCACTCTCTAACTCCATGTCCTATTATAATTTATTTTTAAGAGGCACCAAACATTGAATAGCGTGATCTGTTCTGTCTTGTTTTAACTCGTCAACAAAAGGAAGCCACTGTAATCAAACTGCAGATCAATTTATACCCTAGATGAATAACATAGAGCCTATGATTAACTTGAAAAAAGAAATATAAAAAGAACACAGTCAATTCTTAAATGCTTCTTCAAAAAATAATGCAAACATCAAATACAGGCCATCACAAGTACGAGAAAGCATACTCGATTGGAAGCTGAACCTCAGCAATACCAGTAGTCCACTGAGTAGAGCTTTCTTCAGAATTTCGCCTTTTTACCTGACAGGGCACAACATTTTTAAAAGAATGATTCCAAGAAAAGGCAATACATACTGAAAGAGAAGGATGTATCAAACTGTAAGACAAATCATTTACATCCTTGATAATGTCACCAAGTGCTATAAACTATAGAGAAAAACAAAGAACAATAAATAGTGTAAATTGAAAAACAAAGAAGAGTCCCTCACTTTAAGATGCTCAGGGATCTTATAAAGTTCATCTTCAGCACGCTTCAGCTCATTCTCAACTTGATCAGCAGCATCCACTTTCCTTCCCCTCTTCTTCGCTAACTCGTGCTCTATGTATTTCACCCTGATCAACAAACAAGTTGAACCAACATCAACAACCAAATTGAAATTTAAAAGCCTCAGCACAAACACAACATAATATAATTTAGACATACATATTAGGGTCTTCAACCAAAACAGCGGTCTCTTGAGCGAAGGTATCTTGAAGAACGAGCTCATCCTTGTCGCCGCCATCACCGTCGTTCTTTTCGGCGGCTTTAGCAGCCAAAGCGCCGACGGTTCCACTCTGCGCTTGCAAACTAGGGTTTGCTGGAATTCCCGATTTCCTTTCCCGCTGCTTTTGGAGAAGCTTGATTTCCTCCAGTGCCATTCTGTACAAAGTAATAGCATCAATGAAGCCTAAACCCTGACCAAAAATTCCGTATCAGAATTGTAGATTTGAAATAACAAACCTTCTTTCTCGTTCATCGTCTGATTCATTGTTGTTCTGAGAGGGAGGAAGTTGATCTTCGTCTGTTGGAGCGCTTCTCTTTCGGTAGTTTTTCTTTCGCTGCTGTTGTGATTTTGAATCCTCCATCGTTGTTAACGTTAGCGGAAACGGATCGTATGCGAATGCAATGAAGAGGTTTAAACGTAACGTTTTACCCCTTCGACACTCGCTACCAAGCAACACTTCCCACTCGATTTAATGCTTTTGTTTCCTACAATAAAATGCAGTTCAAAATATGATTTTTATTCCTCTAGAATCTCTACATGCGGTCCATTACAATATAAAAGAAAAGAAAAAAAGATATTATCAAATTCATTTCATTTTATAAATAATATTTTAAAATTTAATTTTTTTAACTATTTAATAATTGTTATTTCTTTTATTAATATTTATTTTGTTGTTATGTGCATATAGAAATTATTTTACGTTTTATCTATTTATTTTATTTTTAAATTTTTATTTATATTTATTTTTGCTATAATATGTGTATAAAATTTATTTTATCTTTTTATTCATTTATTTTTTAAATTAATTTGTTTATACTATTTTTTATTTTAATTTTTAATTTTTTATAATTTTTAATTAATTAGTCATTTAATAAATTATTACAAAATAACTTATATTTAAAGTATACATTTTTTATATTATTTTTTTCATTTTTAGTTTTATCTTCTTATAATTTATAATTTTATCTTAATCCATTTAATTAGATCTAGATTTTAAAAATCTAAATCACAACCTATTTAACTGTATTTGGATGGGTTAATTTTTTTATTCTAAAAATAAAAAATCAAGGTACGTATAAGGTTTTTATTTGAGGGTAAGTTTGAGTCATTTAATAGTTTTCCTTTGAAATTTGATTGAGTTAGATCTAATTAAAATTTAACTTTATCAACTTAGACTGAAATTCAAATAAGTTGATTCTGCCAAAACTTGGTTGAGTTAGTTCTGATTTAAATTCAACTGAGACGGTCATGGTTAGAACTCGATCAAGTTGTTCGGTCGAAATTCGACAAATTAAGCCTGATCATAATTGGTCGAGTTGGGTCCAACCAAAATCGATTGAGTCAAGCTTGGTTCAAATTCAACCTAGTCAGCTCTAGTTAAAATTGGGTCGAGACTACCCTGATCAAAATTTGGCATAATTGGCCTTCACCGAAATTTGACTGAGATGACCGCAATCGAAGTTTTGTCGAGTCAAGCTTAGAACAAAATTTGATCGCATCAGTCTCAATTCACTAAATCGACCTTGACAAATATTCAACTAAGTCAACCCTGTCAAAATTTGGTTTTTTGAGTTTAATCGAAATTCTGTTGAGTCACGTGCAGCTGAAATTGGTTGAGTCAACCCTAGCCGAAGCTGGTCGAGCCAGTTCTTACCGAAATTCAAAAAAATAGGCCTTGGTTGAAATTCGACTAAGGCCAAAGTTCGATCAAGTCGACCTCAAAACAAATTTGACTGAGTCTGCCTTGACCATAATTCGATCGAGTCGGACTTAGCCAAAATTTAACCTTGTTGTCGTCAACCTAAATTTGGTGGAGTCAGTCCCGACCCAAATCATCGAGTTGGCCCCACCCAAATTTAGTTAAGTCACAGCCTAGTCAGAATTCGGTCAGTCGGGCTGATCGAATCGATGGTGTCATCCCTCCTAACCAAATTTTGCTCCAATCGATCATGACCAAAATTTGACTGAGTGGCATTGAGATGAAAATTTGACTGAGTCAGACCCTATCGAAATGAGGTTGAGCTTGCCCTAGTCGAAAGTCCACCTCAGATGAAAGAGGACCAAGTCGGATCCAAGAAAAGGTCGATCGAGTTATTCTTAGACGAAGGTCAGTTGAGTCAGCCTTGGGAATAGGTTGGTCAAGTTGACCTTGGGTCTAAGTAAGTTAAGTTGACCACGGGCGAAGGTTGGTCTTATCGACCCTAAGTAAAGGTCGGTCAAGTTGGCCCAAGATAAAGGTCGATCAAGTTGGTATGAGGCAAAGGTTGGCTGAGTCGACCCCGATCGAACTCCTTAGATCGACTTGGTCTTCCTAGAATTTAAGGTCGATTGAGTCAACCCAACATATTTCTAATGAATATGTGAAATACATTATTGAGCTCATTGTATTTAATCTCATTTACAAATAAAGTGAATCTAAATTTTAAATTACATTTAAAAATAAATCCAAATTAGTTATAAGTTAAAATGAATTATGATTCAAATTCATTTAACTAAATCAACTAATTTAGATGTTAATATCAATTCATTTTATTAGATAATTAGACTATTACAAACACATGATTATATTTATAGTGTGATCGATCAGCATACAATCATGATACATCAATAAGATAACATGCTTATAATTAAGAATGATCACTTCCAACGTTTTTCCAATAGTCAAATTTGATTTTAATGTCATTTTTTTATATTACTAAAGTGCATGCCATGCCTGTCCTCATATTTTAATATAAATCCTATCTATCCGGATCTTGTATCCTAATCTTTTTTTGGTTTCCAATCCCAAATCATTTGCCATCGGGTATTTTTTTCTTTTTTCTCGCCCATCATTCATTTCTTCCTCCCAGTTTAATCCCCTTTCAGCTCCTCTCTCCTTATATATCATTTCTATCTTCTCATCTATTTTATGTTCGTATGTATTTATTTAAAAAGTTAACATTCTAAAAGACCTGGTATACTATGTTCTTTGTATACAGCGGATGAACTTATTTCATCTTGTTTACAAGCGGCTCAATGATGGGTCGAACCAAGGTTGGGATACCTACTCTTTATTTTCCTTTTTTTTCCAATCAAACATCTTCCTTTTTCATTTAATCTGATAGCCAAATAAAATTACTTCACCAACCATCTCATTTATGGTTTAAAGAAGAAGTAATAAAAAGGTGACATAGATTTATGGTTTAAAGAAGAAGTAATAAGCTGACATATTATTTGATATATATCATAAAAATAAAATAATTTTAATTTTTTTTTGTATTTCTAAATAAAAATAAAAATAGTAAAAGATAATATTAAATAAATATAAAAAATGTTATGTTTCAAATATTATTTTTCTTAATCAAGTACATTTTTCTATAAAAGAAAACAATTTGAGTGCCTCAAAGTTTAAGATGTCCCATCTTCCAAACTGATTTAACAACCGACCAACGTGAAAGAGAAAGTGAGGTGGACATGTGGGTAAACCAACAATCTTTTTTATCTGTTCACAAAATTTTGTGACAAAGAAAAGGAGAATAATAATATTTTAATACTTAATAATTTTTTTATTTACTTATCATTATTATTTAAATACAAAACATTATTTTTTTCCTGACTATTTAATGTGTCCGAATGTATTTATTATTCAACCAGAAAATGATTCAAGAATAACGTAACCACAATAGAAGGTGACAACTTTGACATCATAGAATCGTATAACTATAACCACGTAGTATGTAATCCACGATACAATATTATATCATTATTCTCGATGGGCCGCATACTGAAACACAAACAACCAGCGTAAGTGAACAATAGTCACAAAACCTTCACGAATTACCGGAAAATATATGCCTTATAAGACTGAATCTTTCTCTCTGGATATCATAATTTAAACTTAAACAAAGAAAACTTAAACTTCTTAGCGAGCAAGCTTGGCCATTGATGTCATCAAACCTGTTTAGTATCAATCTGAAAAGCCTGAGCAAATAACATTATCAGCACAGTTGGTGTTGAGCTGAAAAGAGCTGCAGAGCTACAGAAAAGGTTCCAGGAAGTTTGGCTGTTGTAAAGCAGAAAGCACTGAAGCAGGCTTATCTCCACTGTTCTTCTGATAATGCACCAAACCTTTAGGGAACACAAGAATTCACCTTTCTTAATGGACTTTGAGATGAGTTTGTTTGGCTTGGTGATAAACCCCCACGTCTAATTGACCTTCTTAACACAACACAATCTCAGTGGCACGAGGGTGGTGTTGTGAGGTGGGTTTAAGTCCCTCCAGCTTTATAGTCTATTCTAGAGAAGACACTCCCCAATGTGTTAAGTCCTGGGAAATTTTTTTCTACATTGGCTGAGTAACCAAAGATCCCAATGTGTTTTGTTGAAACTCCAGGTTTTGTGCTAAACAGCAAAGAAGAAATCACGCTTCTTGTCACATTCTCCTCCTCGTCTCTGCCTTGCAGGCAATCATTCACCTCACAACCTGAACAGCAATTAATTACAACACACTGGGTTTGTACTGTCACTATTTTTCCTAAACACAACTTGGCATATTTATTTGAGCTATAAGAGCAGAGAGAGAAACTAAAATGGCGGTGAATAGTAATAATATGCATATTATTACCTGAGAGAGGGAAGTGGGGCGAACGACAACAGGTCTTTGAGTGTCTCACGGGTCAAAGCGAAGGCAAAGGAGAAGGCACAACAGAAGAATGACAAAAATTGCATAAGTGTTTGTTGGCAACATGGTTTGGACTTGAAGAATGATGATTGAACTATTTGCAAGAGTAAGCGTTAGAGAAAGGTATTTTTGATATGATTAGAGATAATAGTGGAATGTTTGTGTTGGATGACTAAAATGGTGGCAAGTTGGCCTCTTTATATATGCATTATTTTTTTAAACAGGTAGTGGTTCTAGACATAGTAGATGAGAAAGATGTGATGGTAAAGCATTTCAGTGGTCCATAGACTTAAACTCAAAGCGATTGGTTTAAGGCTTAATGGGAATCCTATAAACCTTTATGTCTTTATTAGAAAAGAAAATTATTCATGCAAGTAAAAATCAGCATATAAATTAGGTGGTTGCTTGCGGACAAGATGCAGACAGTGACTGTCTAATGAAGAGGAGTTTGGTGAGAGATGCCAGATTATAGTCAGATGCAGACTTTGTCCATGCATTGTTGTGAAGTGAAATAATTAGTTTTAAATTTAGAAGAAAAAATATGTCTAAATTTAAGAGAAAAAGGGTGTTTAATCATTAAACCAATGTAGTTATTATATGAACTAAATTAAACTTTTAGCAAAATCAATTCTCAATTTAGTTATATAATGTTATCTTTTGAGTCATTACTAAGAGAGATTAAGTTTGACTCAATTGTCAATCTGAACAACCTTAGGAAATGGATGGGAGGCATAGGGCCCTTTAGAAGCGCGACACGCACTCCTTCAGTTCCTCTGTTGCTTTCACTGTTAGGCCCATTTGAAAAATGATTTTTCAAAATTAGTCAGATAATAAAA